TCACACAAGACAAGCCCTTAGAGTTTAGGCCAGCATGGGGTCTAGGTATTACCCTCTTTCAGTTTGTTGGTTAAGACCTGTCCTATCAGAAGTAACCGGGTTCTAGAGGATCCCAATATCACTGACTACCCTCAATCGGTCATAACTCCAGCATCGCAATCTTTTCTTGCAGCCAGAACCATCACGAGAGTTTAGCCTCAATGGGCGTAGCATACTGCTACTGTTCTATTGGCCAAGTTGGGTCATTTAAGGTTCTAAGGTCGGTTGGTGCTTAATGACTCCTCAGAAGACCCATATTCTCCTCGTTGCGACACAAGGGATATCGGTACAGACCAAGGTGCCACACCAACGTAGCCACTGCTTCACCCATGTCGGTCTACGCCGGACAGGTCCCTCACAGCTTATGTTACCTAATAGGGTATCCCCAGATCCGGGTTAGGATCTATGTAACTCTGATGCAGCCCACAATAATAAAGCAAACAAGCACAACAATTGAAAACACAAGTGATCTTAGTCCTAAGGTACACCTCACTTTAATCAATGTCCCCAGCAGAGTCGCCAGTTCTGTGATCGGTGGATCTGGAACTGACTGTTTAACGCTGGTTCGCGAAATGTCGCGGAAGCAAGAGTCGCCACCGTCTTTTATTTTCTCCAACATGGACAGGACAAAAGCACAGCAAAATTCCTTATGAGATTGTTTCTCGGTTCGGGAGGTAAATTTATAGAAAGGGAAGGTGTTAGCACCCTTTCTATCCATGGTTATCCATGGGCTCTTAGATACTTGCTCATTGTGTTTTCAAAAGTGTTTGCTTTTCAAAGTGTGAGTGGGTTTGAAAAAGTTCCGTTTAAAGATTTCAGATCGACTCTTGTATCAGTCCTCAAGAGTGTTTGAAAAATTGTTTTGAAAGCTTTTTGAAAGTGTCGGTGTGAAAAGAGTTTTGTTTGTTTTTGAATAGAGCAAGTATCTACGAGTCATCTACCTACCCTAAGGAATTAGGCTATGTAAATGTCCTTAAGGTAGTGCCATCCCACCATTGAGAGGTAGGTAGCACCACCGTTGGAGGTGTTCGGGTCAATTCGTTTGTAGGGGCAGTGTGGTCACCGGAGCAACAGTAGGACACCTTAGAAGCTACCCTTATGCCATTGATCCTTTTTAATTCGAGGCAACTTTTCCGAGGCAACTGGATCATGTCATAGACATAAGGACTTACTAAAACGTCCTATACTCGACGACCACGTTTCGAGGGTAAGGCAACAGTGAGGCGTACCCTAAGAGTGGTGTGTGAATTTGTGTATTATTTTCAGTTATGTTTTATCTTGTACATGTATCATGGTGATCTACGCTTGTTTTTAATTTAGGCCATTCATTCTTTCATGCAAAGTTTAGAATTTAAAAGTGCGGAAATTAAAGTGCGGAAAGTAAAGTCCTACGCTATTACAAGGCGCGGGTCTATACATCGCCAAATTAACAAAGACCCGTTTTCAAAAAATGCGGAAAGTAAAACCTAGTTACTATTACAAGGCTTGAGCAATTACATAATATTTGAAAGAAAATAAATAAGAATAAATGCGCGAAGGGAATAAAGTTAAACGTTCGAGGGCGTTGGACCCTTTTTTGAAATTAAATTGAAATTAGGACTAATTAGTTATTTAATTAAAAGAGAAGGAATATTTTTTATGTTTTTGGTATTTAATGAGAATAAAGAAAATTAATTAAAATTAGAAGTTAAATGAAACCCTAGTTCTAAATTATTTTTAATTGTTAAAGAAAAATATTCAAGTTTAACCTAATTTACACTAGTTAATTAATTACATGGGTATTTACAAAATAATTAATAATTAATAATAATAATAATAATGAGAAAATTATTTAAAAAGAAAAGGTGAAAAAATATCAAAATCCTAATTCTACCTATTTTAATTTATTAAGAAAAACATTAAAGTTTTAAAACCTAAATTAACTAGTTAATTATTAAGGTTTATTTACAAAATAAATAATGGTGACATAAATATTATTAAAAAAGAATAAGCATTTTAGTTTCTGATTTTTTTATTGTGGAAATTATTTTATGGTGAAAAGAAATAATTAAAACATTAAAAAGAATTTAAAGAAAATCAAATAAAAAGCAAAAATAATGCAAACCATGGGGGGGGGGGGGGGGGGGGGGGTATCAGGCCCTTTTTAGAGGTTTTTGTAGAGTAATTTGGCCCATTGAATCAGGCCCTTTTTGACTTTTTGCGCTTGCGTGCAGAGTGGTTGACTAGCATGCACGGTAGACCTCCATTCATAGCCTTCAGATGGATCATCATGCATATGTGGCAAGCCAGCATGTGGAGTTGTATGGTAGGACGTTGATGGCATGCTGCATAGAAACATGTTAAGGAAAAAATTATAGAATAAGTGGGGGGACCTGGGAATCGAACCCAGGTCCCAGCGTTTACCAAGTGAGTGCTTTGCCAGTTAAGCTGTTTGCGCGCTTTGTTAATATTATGGAATACAAATAATATATATGAAAACCAATCATTATGCTGAGACAATCAAAAACGCGCCAACGTTCAAATCATCCAATCACATTCATACACGCGTGCATCTTCTTCCTTTTGTACCTGTAATACAAGCAATTAGCGGGGGTTTTAAACCCCCACAAAAACAAATGCCAGAAAATAGCGATTAGCACATAGATAAACATAAAAAGGGCGCGAGGTAATCAAATGATTCGTCTTCATGTCACGAATTCAATAGTACCAGTTTGAGGGTCCAATTTTGCCATATGTGTAAACCCCTAAATCCAAGCTTCTGAAACTCTAGAGAACGTTAATGGCAACTTTTGATACAGGCATTCTTAGTTCAATTCAAGGGTACCATTAGCTTCAGAACACCCATATTAGTGTAAATCAACATTTAAAACATATGAAAAATGCATGTAAATTGAAACACGATTATGGAAAATTTCAAGAAAAGTGTGATGTCGTTCTACCACTTCTTTGGGTATGGAGGCCTGGATTTGATTGTAATCGATTCCTGGATGCTTTGGCAATATATTGGAATGCGTTTGGAGCTTTGAATTGTGCTCTAGGTATTAAAACAGTTTCCAACTTTTTATGAAAAAAATGCAATTTGGTTCTTTGTTTCCTGCGCAGCTTTTTTTGTCTAATGCCTTAGGTTAATTTATGCATAAGTAAGTGAATAGAATTAGGTCAAGAAAACAAGCCCAAAGTCCATCCATTTATGATTTTGATATTTGATTTCCAATCATATAAAATCCAATCTTTTTCAATCTTTTTGCCATGAATCTCTTGCCAATTGTGAAAGATATTACCTTTTTGAATGTGAAATGAAATCCTTAGCACATAATGAGTGAATTCTCTGCACAAAAAGATTTGAAAGGTGTTATTTGATATTTTTTCATATTTAAATTTAATTAAATGAATTAATAATAATAAAAATTCAAATAATTAATCAAAAATAAGAAAATAAATCCCTTTAAGGTCAATGGGTCGTGCATAGCCTTTGGGTAATGATTCATGAGAGAAATTGAGGCCCATTAGCATTTTTGAAGCCTTTTGTGCAAAGTTGACTTTTCAAAATTCCCAAAAATTTCCCAACTTCTACAAGGCCTATCTTGCTCAATTTTGAAGATTTGATCATGTTCTTGGACATTTTGGAAAGGTCTTGAAGTCCTCTAACCAATGCCTTTGGTCCCATGTCATTTTGATTTACCAATCTCAAGTTATGGTCTTTGACTTAAAGTGCCTTTTTGTTGACTTTTGAAAATGACCTATAATGTTGAAATTGATAACTTTTTGTGAGATCATTTCTTGGACTTGAAGTGTGAAGATGAGTTGTAGGAAATGTCATTCTCTTCAAAATGAGCTTTGGATGAGATTTTTCTGATAAACCATGTGAGGAAGTTATGCCCTGGTCAATTTGCAGTTGACTTTTCCAACTGTCCAAAAATAGAAACTTTTGCATCTTGAGACTTTTTGAGCCATGCTTTGAGAATCATGATCAAGAATTGATCAAATGATGTTTGTGGCTTCAAAACAAGATGTTGACCAAATTTTTTGACTTTTGGCTGCCAAATGACCATTTTGCCCCTACAGTTGACTGTTGAGCAATTAGGGTTTTTGACTGTACAATTTGATGTTGTGAGTCTTGAAACTTGACATATGAATGCTTGACAATGTATGTAGGCATATGGGACTTGATTAGACCCTTGAAAACTTCAATTTCTTTGCCAGAACCAAAACCCTAATTTTGACTGTGTTAGGAGGCAATTGGACTGTGCAACCCTTGAGAGATTTTGAACCATGCTCTTGGCAAATCTTGAAGAATATAGGAGGGCAAATTTTAGGGTACAACAGGGTGTTACACTATTTCTCCACTTACTTACACTTGTATTATTATTCTAACATGTTTTTGATTAAAAAAAAGTATAAATAAGATTGATGCAATACTTGATCACCCTTAACAATTGTATACATGATAAATATTTGCATCAATTATTTAGTTAAAAATTAATTATTTACAAATTAATTAATAAAAAATAAACAATCCACAGAAAATAATTGTTGCAGTATTTAGTAGAAACCAATTGTATCCATCAAATAACGTTTACATAAAGATGAACAATAATATATTGTCGCATAAAAAAACAATAATATATTATATCATATTACGATAATTTCATTTATATCTTAATAATACTTTATACTAACAAATTTCTACATATCACTCAATATAATAACTGATGTTTTGGTTATTATTTTTACAAAAAAAATGATGGTTTAATTCAATTTCGGAAAAAAATATTGCTATTTGTTTATTTGAATATTTAATTAAGTAAGAATTACTTTAAAAATCAAAAAATGACTATCACTTTTATAATGTCAACTTTATATAATAGTGGTCTAATCTATCCAAGAGAAATTCGTAGAGACTGGTGCAAGTCCAAATGCATATTGCTATTATTTTTTTTGTAATATATACTGCATTAGTTTCAAGCTTGAGCTATTCCAGTCTTGGAAGTAAAAATCCGGTTGAGAATAGCTGCAAGTCGCACACCACCTTGAGCCAGCCTTTTCTCCACAATAGGCAGCCGAGAAAGGAAGTACTCATCTACATCATCAAATAGAATAACAATGTATGAGAAGACATTCTTTAGGGATCATAAAATCAAGAAGAATTTGAACCCTGGTTGCAATAATCCAAAGTTACGAGCCACAATGATATGTAATTTCTTGTACTAGGAAATTACCTTTCAAAGTGCTTCCCGGTGTAGCATTCCTATACGCAAACTTGCATGCCAAGCTAACGCTCTCAGAAGCATACCTGAGCATAACCAATAAAATCATGATATGTAATTTCTTGACATTAGTTGCATGTTAGTAGCTTTTTTAATTTCTAGTAAAAATACTGTAATATGGAAAATGAAGGGAAGTTCATGGCTGTCAAGACTAAAATACACAAGCAAACATTTAATGACACAGATTCCTAAAAGTATTTAGCTTGATAAAAAGATATAAGTATCATCATCTCACTATATTTTCCAAGTGACGATCACATAGTTATGATAATGAGCCACAGAAAATGAATTCAAGAAACCTGGCAAAAGACATGAAAATATCAACTGCCTACTGCCGAGCAATAAAAAGTGTAACCAATTCAATACTCAGCAACCAGTCAGTTAAGGCGGGGACAGGAAGTGTATTACGCACGCACCTATCCGGACATGCTGTGAAGTTGTGTGGACAATGTTCCCAAATAGATACATCATTTGACCAAATATCCTGCAGAAAGTGAGTAAAAATAATAGTAGATCTTTGGGTCTATACGGGCTACACGTTACAAGTCCAAACAAAGACATAAGTATGACGACAAAAGAGAAAGAAAAAAAAACAATTTTTCTATGATGAATACTCCCGTCATTTGCATAAATGCATAAAGATATATGGGGACATTACAGTAATATTCCGTTGAATAGCCTGTATCATAGTTGAAAGATCTGAGCCATAGAACATTTTCAGAGCAGACTCAATAATCATGTTATCCCATACCTGGAACAAAACCAAACATACTAAATTTAGTCAATTTACTACGTTATTGACAATGACCGGTAGCGCAAGCATTATGATCAACGGATCAAAACAAAAAAGAATGTGTACAAGAGCTTAGTGACAGAGTAAATAAGCAATTTCAAAAGTAGGTGCATCTTCAGCTGCACATCCTTGGTTATATAACATGTGAGAGTATGACAAGTCTTTTAGTTAAAAATATGAACAGTTTCTATCAGAATACAACAAAGTTTCTTTAAATATGACATCAAAAGCCAAGTTTAGGAATCTATGGCATATATAGAATTGACATTCCAATTTAAATCCATTCCTTTAGACATTTATTGTATACAGATCCTCAATCTTCCCTATCCCGTCTACTTTTTTTCTCCCAATCACATAATACAAAATCAATAATCATATAGAGCTTCACTGCAGGTAAAGCTATGATAGAAACTATCAATCTTTGATAAAATAAAGGAGGAAAAAGCTAAGTCTCAATCAATCACAAACACTCCATAAACAATGGAAAAAATGCTCAACATACAAGTTAGTTAGGTTGTGGAATGCAATTATCCCGATCAAGTAGCATTCAATCTGAGTGTTGTAACACTTACATGATGAAGATTTGTTTTCCTCCTGAACCAGCGAACTGTTATCGAGTTTCCACCTAGGTCTCCAGTAAAACCAACATGTAGGGGCTACACCAGAAAATGGGAACCAAAAATAACATCCTCAAAAGAACAATTTTTAGCAGAGAAAATAAATTTAACAATGTGATTGTAACTTTTATATTACACACGGTGAATAATATCATAACCATTCCCACATGTCACTGTTTTCAAGTTTAAAATTCTTATGTCTCAACTTAGAAACCCAAACTATGGTAAGCCACTGATGAAAATTGTTATTGATGGCGGAGAGCAAAATTTCAGTAATAAAGCCCGACATATGGCACCACTATATCAACATAAATAAACCAAGTATTCAGTCAACGGTTCATTAGATTTTATATAGAAACCAAGAAGAACAAACCTGATGTACATCCCCAACAAAGTGCGACAAGAACAAAAGTGCCTCTGTCAAATTATCTATAATTGAAAGAAGAAAAAAAAGTAAATTCAAGGATCTATCTTCAAACGAAACAAACAATTAAGAACATATAATCAGTAAATGCTTACACATACAGTTAAATTTAGATGAAGCATCAGCATAGGCTAATTTCAATTGCATTGTATAATTGTGAATTGCTCCGGTAACACATCTATGCTTATGTCCATAAGAATCATGACAGTCTCCTATAAGAATTGCGAGAAACAGTTGAGAAACATGATGGATTCTAATAGAGAGAAATTAAATGATAGAAAGATTCATATGGTATACAACTAATATAATCAACTTCAAACTAATCATAACAAACTAGCTCTGAATCACGGACTCCAACACAGACACCAGGACACACATGACACCCAAAAAACTTACTGCAGTATTGATAATTACACATGAAATCAGGTGTATCAGCATAATGTAAAGCACTACTCCAATGATAATGGAAACGAATTTCATCAGGCCAAGAGCAAAGTGCAGCAAGATCGCCTTGAGCAGAATCTGGAAGCAGTTGTTTCACTGCAAATAGAGCTTCTTCACTAAGATACTCCTGAAATTAGAGTGTGAATTTAGAATCAAGTGATGAATTGAAAGTATGAGGGGAAAGTCGAAGAGGAGTAGGGTTAGGGTTACCTGCGTGATTTTACAAACTGCATGGTGGCCATCTTTTCCCCAACCTAGAACTTTTGGTATCAGCAACAGAACTAAGAGTGACATCAATGGATAATTAGAAATCATTATGAGTGTGTTTCCATGAATATTTTACTGTTTATAGTTATACTATACCACTCTTTCTATTCTCAAAATTTAAACTGTGTTTGGGAGGTAAATGGAAGGGAGGAAAGGGGAGTGGTTGATTTAAATTTTAGGAAGGGATAGGATATAGAACAGCAAAATCTGTTCAAATTATATTTTTTGAGTTTTCTTAGATCAGGGGGATTCGGAGAAGAGGAGAAGGAAGGTGAATATAAATATTTAATAAATTAATATATTTATTAAATTATCTTTAATTTTATTTTATTATTTTAATTTTTTTTTTTGTGTTTCTACTTTATTTTTTTGTGATTTTTTTCTATTACTTTTATCATTTTATTATAATTATTTTTCACTTATAATTTTTTTTTTATTTAACATAAATTATAATTACTACATTTTTTTGTTTTTTAATTATTTTTATTTTTATGTTTATTTGTGTTAGTTTTTTTTTTGTTTTGGATTATTTTTTTAAATTTTTTTTTATTTATTTTGTAATATATATATATATATATATATATATATATATATATATATATATATATATATATATATATATATATATATATATATATATATATATAAGTTATTTTATGTATTCAAAAGTTATTATAAATACATAATTTATTTTGTACCGAGAGTTATAATACAAATAAGTATATTTAATTTTTTAACATCATGTGATAAGTTATAATTTTTTAATCACTCAATGTTATAAATATTATTTTCAAAAAAATATTTATGAATTTTGATTTATGAATATCATATCACTTATATAAAATTATAATGATAAAAATATAAATTATTAATAAAAAATTTCACTATCTCTCGCGAACCAAACATATTTTTAATCAAAATCTTTCATCTCCTCTTCCCTTCTCTCCCCTCTTTTGAACCAAACTTATATATAATTTAAAAAAATCTCTCTCCTCTCCTCTTGACTCCTTCTCTCCCCTTCCCACTCTTCCATTAAAATCCTTCTCCTCCTCTCTCTCATTAGAGAAAAATATGTCAAAACTTTATTCTTCAGTTTTAGCAATTAAATGAGATCTCAAATACATTATATATTTTGAATTGACATATTGTTTAAACTTAATTGCTTGAGAGAGAGGAAAAGAAACAAATTCATTCAATTGTGACTTGGAACAAGTGGAAACAAAGAAAGTGAAGTCTGCGTGTTTGTTTCAAATTATAAAATTATATTTTTTTTGAAATTATATTTAAAGAATTGTTGTTTTTAGAAATAATATTTCCATTTATGTGTGGATAAAAATTAAAGTTTTTAAGAATATTTACAAATTAATCTATTTTAAAAATTATAAAAATAAAAATAATGAATACAAGTGAGAAGTTATATGTAGTTAAAGTTATTTTTATGGGAATTTTGAATTCTCACACTTTATATGTTGGAATAAGAATAAAAAATTATGTATAAATAATATTTCTTAGAATAAAAGATTCTTTAGAATAATTTTATAAACCTTGAATCAAACATGAAAATATTGCATTCTCATAATCATATTTTCAAAAACATTTATTGTATAACCTTAAAACAAACCGACCCTAACAACATCAAGTATAGAGTTTCGTTGGAATTTGTAATATCACATTTGTTAAAAAAAATGGAGCAGGAAAAAATAAACTCTTCTAAATCTCACTCAGTTTTTATTTTAGATACAAATTCCTTGTTTTTTGTTATAAATTATTTTTCCATTTTCATAGATATTAAAGAATTATTATAGAATAAAAAAATATAAAGTATAAAATAATTACAAAAAAAAATATTAATAGTCTAATAAATGTAAATTTAATGAATTAAAAAATAAAATAATAAATACTTAATATATAGTATTAATTATAGAAAACGATGGGGAGGTCGAGGCGTTCGAAAAAGACGGTGTCGTCGTCGCCTGCATCTAGGTCAAAATCACCGCTATCTCCGCTCGCTCCACAAGCTCCACCTAATTCTGGGTCATCACTTACAATTGGGAATGCTACGACAATTGCTAGAGAAAACAAGAATGTTAGTTCGTTGCTGCAGGATGAGGAAAGGTGTGTTGGTACTGCAAAGGAGGACGAAACCCTATCTGTTACGAGTAGAAAGTTATGGTTTGATGTTCTAATGATAATAGGAATCTTACGAAGGGGAGAGCCATGCAATTTATCGCCCCCAAAATTGTTAATGGAGAAGTTGAGGTCCTTATTGAAGCAGAGGACATTCTTGCAGAAGTCAAGTTCTGGGAACCGTCTCTTGTGCTGTATGCTTTGGGACGGGAGCTAAGTATGAATGAGGTTAAAAATTTCATGATAAGAACATGGAATTTCGTCCAGCTGCCTGATATGTACTATAATGATGAGGGATATTTTATTATGAGATTCAATTCTTTCAGAGAAAGAGATGACATTCTTATGAGGGGGCCATATATGATCCACAATATACTGCTTCTTATTCGTGAATGGCGTCCTGATTTCAATTTGAAGGATGATCTTCTTCATACTCTTCCTTTATAGGTGAAGCTTCCCCAACTGTCTATCTATCTCTGGGGTGATATCAGTCTGACAAAATCGACAGTGCCTTGGGTAACCCTATTGTTACTGATGAATGTACTGCTAATCGACTACGTGTTTCTTACGCGAGAATTCTTGTGGAGATGGATATCACAAAAGAGCTCCCTAAGTCCATCACTATCCGTGATGAGGTTGGGGACAAGATGGAATAAAGTATTGAATATGAATGGAAGTCTGCTTTCTGTAGCATCTGTCAAAAGTTAGGACATAATTGTGAAAAACCTAAGGTTCAAGTGAAGCAATGGAAGCCTAAGGCCAAACCTCCCGTGGAGTCAAAACCTGTTGATGCATCTGAGAGTAGTATTTCTCCACCTATTCCACCTATGGCCCAAGTGGTTTCTGCTAGTCAACGGGGTGATGGAAAATGATCTGCTGCAAAAAGGGGCAAGGACAAAGGTAAGATATAAACCAATGAAGACCCTCTTGATAAACCCTTCTGTGATAATGGATTTGATGCTTTAGAGATTTTGGATGATCTTCTTGAGCTCCAAAATCCTGGTTAATGTTAGTGTCTTGGAATGTTAAGGGGTGTAATAAAACTGCTAAGCTTAGGGAGATTAGCTCCCGTCTCCTAGAGCTTAGGGTTGATATTATCATTCTGGTTGAAACTCGTGTCAAAGTTCATCAAGCCAATAAAATTAGGAGATGCTGAATCTTGGTGATAACTATATTGATAATTATAATTGTCATGTCAATGGTAGGATTTGGGTTAATTGGAATAGAAATAATGTTAATGTCAATCTTATCTCTACTACTAGCCAAATGATTCACTGTGAGGTGTTTGACACCCTTGGAAACTCTAGGTTTTACCTGACTGCTATCTATGCCTTTAATAAGCTGGAGCAAAGGAGGATTTTGTGGCAAGTTGTGGAGAAGATTAACCAGCAGGGGCCCTGGTGCCTTGCAGGGGATTTCAATAATGGCCTTCATGGAAAAGACATAATTGGTGGAGCTTTAGTTACTGATGGTGAGTTTCAGGATCTTACAGAGCTTAATGATAACATGAATCTTGCTGAGATGGATAGTACTGGTGAGTATTTTACCTGATCAAATAAGCAATGTATGGAAACTGTCTACTCCAGGATTGATCATTTCCTGGCTAATCCTGTCTGGTTCCAAAACCACTTGAATTATGCCCTTAAAATCTTACCCCTTGTCTCTGACCATGCCTTGCCGTATCTTGGTAACCAGAACATCTCCCCTGCCCCCCACAAAAGATTTAGGTTTATCAACTGTGTTGTTGAGTCTGCAGGATACAATGATGATGTTAAAGTGTGTTGGAATAGCCCGATGACTGGTAGCCCTAGTTTTATTCTTTGGCATAAACTGAAGAGATTAAGGCAAATCCCGTTCAAGCTCAATAAGACTTTGATGGCTTCTAAGCATCATATTGCTTTAGCTAGGGACAATCTTTCCAAAGCTCGGGCTGAGTTAGCAGCTGACCTAATGAATAATGATAAGATTCTGCTGGTAAAAAATTGCACAAAAGATTTGTTGAAGTGAAATGATATTGATGAGTCCATCCTTAGACAAAGAGCTAAAATTCAATGGCTTAAAGATGGGGATGGTTGTAATGGTTTTTTTCATGCTTCTATCAAAGCCAAGCAAAATACCAAGGCTCTAACTATGTTGCAGAAAGATGGTGGATCCTATATAACTTCCCAGAATCAAATTGAAGAGGAAATCCTTAAGTTCCATGGCTCTCTCATGGGTTAAAATGATGATAATCTGGACTGTATTGATATCAGGGTAATGAGGAATGGCGCTCAGATTTAGAATTCTTAGAGAGACTTTTTGGTAGCCCCTATCTCTGATGATGAAATCTATGTTTCCCTTAAAGGAATCAAGGATATTGTTGCCCCTAGATTAGATGGATATTCTGCTAAATTCTTCAAAGCTAGCTGGAGTATTGTGAAAGATGATGTTAGAGCTACTGTCAAAGATTATTTTTTGCTAGGGGTAAACTTTATAAAGCATTCAACAGTACTCTGGTTTCCCTTATTCCCAAATCTGATTCTGCTTCCTCTATCAAGGACTTTAGGCCCATATCATTTTACACTACAATTTATAAAATCATTTCTAGAATCATGACTACAAGACTGAGTAAAGTTATTGGCAGCATTATTAGCCCTAATCAGGATGCTTTCATTCCTGGGCAGCAAATTCATCACCACGTCCTGCTGGCCTATGAGCTTATAAAGGGCTATAGTAGAAAAGGTGGTCCCTCCAGAGTTATGGTCCAATTAGATATGCAAAAGGCCTATGACATGGTGAGTTGGAAGGCCTTGGAGTTTATTACGTAAGAGCTTGGTATTCCTCATATCTTTATTCATTGGGTTATGTCTGCTATATCTAATATTTCCTACAGGTTTTCTGTTAATGGAACTACTACTGATTTATTGATTTCCAAGAGAGGG